CCTCTCATCAAGCTTTTCTCAGATTCTTCAGTTCATAGCCACAAAGACATTTGGCAGTTAGTCTCAGTTCTATTTATAAGGTCCTACAGGAAAGCTCAGCAGGTAAGTTCTTCCTAGTCTGGAGATATTCTCTTCAAATGAGCTAGGAGGAGTGAGAGTGATGACCGATTTGAGGATTTGGCCCAATAAAGTTGAAGGATGCTTCTTTCCAAGAGAAAAAAAAATCAATTGTAGATCTCAAATCTTCTCAGGAAAAATAAATGGATAGGCCCCATCCAACACTGTCAGATGAGACTGCTCGATTCACCCCAGGCCTGCTGTACTGCGAAGAAAACTGAGCGGGAAGCCAATGTAGAACCACCAAAGCTCCCTTATCGAAAGATAAGTGGTCTCTGTACTCATCTCAGAATCAGTTAACTATTAGCTCAGAGTAGAAGTTCTGCTTGTTCTGGCAAGTTACCCTTGTGGCAGGAGAAGAGGCAGCTTATAAGGTAAACACTGGAAAAAAACCAGATGGGGAAGGTCCCCAATCTTTGATTCACCTGTGGAAGGCAAAAGCAAGATGGCAGATGCTGCATAATTGGAACAGCTTAACAGTGCTACAAGCAGAGACAAGATAAAGTGAGTAGGGAACAGAGAGTGCATAGTATGCAAGGAGAATAGCTATTGGATTGGGAAACCTTGAAAAAGTATTTGTCAGCTTGAGAACCAATAAAGAGAAGGGAAAACGCAGCAGTGTGTTAGGGAGACAAGACCATGGAAATAGCTTTCTTAATATACAATCCATGGCATTTTAGATATAATATTAAGGATTTATGTTCATAAGTGAAACTGAGTAGTTTTCATTTGTAGGATAATTCCATATGAATGGGAGTTAGGTACTGTACCAATTATAAGCTATGTCAGTTCTAAAGAAATGGGAACATGAAGATATACATTTACACTTATTAATGTATGTACCCATGGATTTTAATGTGAGAATTTACCTTGAAAACATCTATTTTAAATTGTGTGACAACATAAACTAAAAGAACATGAAATCACATAACATTTTCCATGTTCTTTTATTTAGCACAAATAGCATTTAGTTAGAAAGATTGACTGACCCATCCTAGCTCAGAGAGAAAGAACAGTATTCAAAATAATATAATTTAAAGATTAGAGTACATCTCAAAAGTAGGGTTCAGACACTGGTGCTGGGAGTGGTATAAGAATCTAGCTTTGGGAATGTTTAGTATATAATTAAATTAAATTAGATGTGTAACAAGTCTTGTGTCTGTGGAAAAGGCAACCATGGAATTTTAAGTTTAGGATGAGAGTTTTTCCAAAGGAGCTCAGCACTAATCCTACTCCCACTTGGTGCTATTTAAACCAATGGAGCAAGACCAGACAATTCTAAGCTTTTATGAAAACCCAAGTCTTTAGCCCCCCTCCATGGTGCGTCTTGGGTCAATTCATTTATATTATAAACACCCTGAAGGTGGCCATGCAACTGTCATTTGCAGTTATCTGAAGCATGCTGGGCAGGAAGCAGTAAAAAGAAAGCTGAGGACATGATAATGCCTGACTATTGCACGATTCTGAGAAAAATTAGGGTCACAGAATTGGTAACAATTCTTTTTTCTCCTATCTCTTATATTTAATACTATTATATGTCTTTACAGATGATCATGTTAAATGTGCAAGCTTACTGAAAGTAATAGAAAACCATGTGGAACAAATGTACTCAGTGCCAACCATAAAGATTTTAGGACCACACTATTAAAGTCACCTACCTCAAAAAGGCCAGTTATTTTCTAATACAGTATATGTACCATTTTTGTTCTAGCACCTGAATTTTAATCCTTGCTGCAAAATTATGACAAGTTTAGAACATAAGAACAGCCAGACTGGGTCAGACCAAAGGTCCATCTAGGCCAGTATCCTGTCTACCAACAGTGGCCAATACCAGATGCACCAGAGGGAGGGAACACAACAGGTAATCCTCCTGTCACCCACCTCCAGAGAAACAGAGGCTTGGGACACCATTCCTATATATCCTGGCTCAGCCATTGATGGACCTAACCTCCAGGAATTGATCTAGCTCTTTTCTGAACCCTGTTAAAGTCCTAGTCTTCACCACATTCTCTAGCAAGGAATTCCACAGGTTGACTGTGCTGACTGATGAAAAACTTCCTTTTGTTTGTGTTAAACATGCTGCCTATTAATTTCATTTGGTGACCCCTAGTTCTTATATTGCGGGAATTAGTAAATAAAATGTCCTTATTCACTTTCTTCAAACCAGTCATGATTTTATAGACCTCTATCATCACCCCACCCCATCTCCTCTTTTCTAAGACGAAAAGTCCAAGTCTTTTTAATCCTTCTTCATATGGGACCTGTTCCAAACCCTTAATCATTTTTGTTGCCCTTCTCTGAACCTTTTCCAATGCCAATATATCTTTTTTGAGATGAAGCAAACACATCTGTACAGAGTATTCAAGATGTGGGTGTACCCTGGTTTTATATGGAGGCAATAAGATATTCTTGCTCTTATTCTCTATCCTTTTTTAAATGACCCCTAACATTCTATTTGCTTTTTTGACTACCGCTGCACGCTGAGTGGATGTTTTCAGAGAACGATCTACAATGACTCCAAGAGCTCTCTCGAGCAGTTGTATCTAAATTAGTCCCCATCGTATTGTATGTGTAGTTGGGATTATTTTTTGAATGTGCATTATTTTACATTTTCCCAACGTTAATTTTCTTTTGCCATTTTGTTGCTCAGTCATTTAGTTTTGTGAGATCTTTTTGAAACTCTTCACAGTCTGCTTTAGTCTTAACTATCTTGAGCAGATTAGTATCATCTGCAAATTTTACCACCTCACGGTTTACCCCTTTATCCAAATCATGTATAAATAGGATGAATAGGATTGGTCCCAGTATGGACCCTGGGGGGACACTAGATACCTGTCTCCATTCTGAAAACTTACCATTTATTCCTACCCTTTGTTTCCTGTCTTTTAACCAGTTACCAAACCATGAGAGGACATTCCCTCTTATCCCATGACAATTTACTTTACTTAAGAGCCTTTGGTGAAGGAGTTTGTCAAAGGCTTTCTGGAAATCTAAGTACACTGTTAGTTGACCCCCTCAAAGAACTCTAGTAGATCAGTAAGACATGATTTTCCTTTACAGAAACCATGTTGACTTTTTCCCAACAAATTATGTTCTTCTATGTGTCTGACAATTTTATTCTTTATTATAGTTTCAACTAATTTGCTCGGTACTGACATTAGATTTACCGGTCTGTAATTGCCAGGATCACATCTAGAGCCCTTTTTAAATATTGGCTTCACATTCACTATCTTCCAGTCATTAGGTACAGAAACTGATTTAAAGGATAGGTTACAAACCATAGTTAATAGTGCCACAGTTTCACATTTGAGTTCTTGGGTGACTTGTTACTTTTAAGTTTATCAGTTTGTTCCAAAATCTCCTCTAATAACACCTCAATCTGGGACAATTCCTCAGTTTTGCACCTAAAAACAATGGCTCAACTTTGGGAACTTCTCTAAAACCCTGGACTAGGATGAGGGGGTGCATGAGGGAGTGCAAGGTCTGGGAGGGAGATGTGACCTGGAGGAGGTGGGGAGAGGGATACAGTGTTGGGTGGTGGCCTGAGGCAGGTAGTTGGGAGGAAGGAGGGGTGGGTTGCCAGAGGCAGGCTTTGGCTGGGAGGCGTACAGATGTGGTTGCCTCATCTCAAAAAAAATTGGCATTCAGAAAAAGGCAACAAAAATGATTAGAGGTTTGGAACAGATCCCACATGAAGAAATATTAAAAAGACTGGGACTTTTCAGCTTAGAAAAGAAACTAAGGGGAACAGGATAGAGGTCTATAAAATCATGACTGGTGTGGAAAAAGTGAATAAGGAAAAGTTATTTACTTATTTCCATAATACAAGAACTAGTCATTACCAAATTAAATGAATAGTAGCAGGTTTAAAACAAATAAAAGGAAGTTTGTCTTCAAGCAGTGCACTGACGGCCTGTTGAACTCCTTGCTAGAGGAGGTTGTGAAGACCAGGACGTTAACAGGATTCAAGAAAGAACTAGATAAATTTATGGAGGTCAGGTTCATCAATGGCTATTTACCAGGATGGATAGGAATGGTGTTCTTAGCCTCTGTCAGAGGCTGGGAATGAGTGACAGGCGAGGGATTACTTGATGATTCCCTGTTCTGTTTACTTCCTCTGGGGCATGTGGCATTGTCCACTGTCAGAAGACAGGATGACAGGATACCAGGCTAGATGGACCTTTGGTCTGATCCAGTATAGCTGTTATGTTTTTTCCTGCACATATAACCTCCCTGATGCTGAACTCCATTCCCCTGCCTCACATCACCACCCAAATCCTCTGCACCCCTTTTTCCTCCTTCTCCCAGTCACAACTCCCTCCCAGACCCTACATCTCCTCCCACAAGCCAGAATCCTCTCCATCATCCAGAACCCCTCCTGGACCATGCACTCCAATCCCCTGCCCCAGATCATACCCCCCCCCCACCCAAACTCACTCAGACCCCACACCCTCCTGCACCCAGTCTTATATCCCAAGCTCCTGTCTACACTTCACCCACTGTCCCAGACCCCATACCCTCTCCATAGAAGTACAGCCCTTGACCACTTAGCAAAATCTTAGAGTGCCCCCAATTAAAAATTATTGCCCACCGCTGCACTAACAGCATTATGGTGCATACTGATTTAATTTGCCTTTTATATAGTTAGAATTCTGAGTAAACAAAGTTAAACATTTTTGTCAACTTCATTTGAAGTTTCCATCCATGTAGTATTTCTGCATTAAAAGTACATGTATAACATGTTTTTTCTTCCAGCATTATGCAACATTGCCATTACATTGCTCAGAATGTAGTCAGTTAGAATTTATTATAAAATTAGTCAAGGTGTAAAATCAGCATATATATTTCATACATGATCTAACGGTGCAAATTCAGACACTAACCTTGCAAATCTTCTGTTTCAGGAATTGTTTTGTCCACAGCTGTAATTTCTGCTTGGGATGATGCTACAGATTCTGTTAGAAGTGATTGGTTTGACACAGGACTAGGAAGAAAACGATTGAGAATTTTTAAGAGCCAGGTACAGGTTTTATTTTCACAAAGATTGCTCAGATATTATGACTGGACAACACCACCAAATCTTTTCATTTAGAAGTTAAGGACTTCCACAGCACTTTATGGCAGTAGTGTTTAAAACAAAAGATTTGCGACAGAATTTATAAGAAGCCAAATATTTTCAGCTTCCATTGTAGTACACGCTTCTGTTTGAAGCGGGCTTGGTAAAACTCAATTTTATTTTCATATAATTTTAACTGATATTATGGTTTATTTTTACCCATTTTAACAGTTCCAAAAAGTTACAGGGGGACTAGACTTATGTAATGACACTACAGATTGAGATTCAGATACTTTAAAGGTTATGAAGCTTTAACTAACACAAAGTGTCAATATCAAGCCAAAATAACCTAAGTACATATTCTAAAATCAAACCCTAATACATTTGCAAGCAGATTTTTCTTACTTTTTCTTTCTGTAATTTTGGATTATTATTCATAAAAAACTATTTTGCAAGATTGTATGTGCATAATGAAATCAATGTTTATCAACATTTACAGATAATCTAATAATTGCCAGCTACTAGATGTAGTAACTGTAGTGGCTACTAAATATCAGCTTCATACAGGCAGTCCCCGACTTACGAACGGGGCTTTTCTCACCCCGGAGCTCACGGGCAGCGGCTCGCCACCCGTGTCCTCCGGGGCGAGAAAAGCTTCTCCTGGTCTCCCTGATCTCCCGACTGGGCGGCTTTGCTCCTGTCCCCCTAGTCTGCTGGGGGGGTCCAGCAAAGCCGATGGACCCCCCCCAACAGACCAGGGACACCCAAGCAAAGCCACCACCTGGGCGGCTTTGCTCGTTTGCCGGGGAGCAAAGCCGCCCAGGCAGCAGGACCCCCGCCGCCTGGGCAGCTTTGCTCCTGTCCCCCTGGTATGCTGGGGGGGTCCAGCAAAGCCGCCGGACCCCCCCAGCCGACCAGGGACACCCG